ACCGGTTAGAAATTCTATTACTAAAGAAAGACCAAATCTCCACAAAGGGCTAGATGGTATGTTAAGGTCTGTTATGATCCAAGGCACCTGGCACAGAGCAGGGGTGGGCAAGCACTCATTGACTAAACTAAGCTTTAAAGCAGACTCACAGCCCCTTATTCCTGACAGGATTTCAGCATAGCATTACCCTAAGGAACTCTGCTCCCACAGGGATCCTGAACTTCCGGTGGAGAAGGACATACCCAGACCCTTAGAGAGCAGCAAGACCAAGACCCACATGGTCAAAGGTCAAGCCAACGCTGTAGATTGATTCATTACTGTTCCCTACTGGTCCTGGTCTTAGAAGGTTATAAACATCCAAGTCATTTTAGTTTTACTTGCTGGGTCTCTAGGCAGGGGTCCAAAGTCTTGACCTTGATACTATGCATCTCTGGCTGCTCTGTTTTCATTACGAGGTTGTACTCTGTTTCTCTTTTCATGAAATACATTTGTTTTCCCTATTTGACCCATTACTCTTTAAAACAAGGGTTTTTTAAAGAATAATTCTGCCAAACATCATATGCAGCAGGATACAAGCTAAATACGGTTCTAAAAGTTCTGATTTTGCTGGCTAGGATGTACTGCGAACACACACACATCTTTTGGTGTCAGCATGCACGTTTTTATGTTCTTCATGCCTTATACATGAAGCATTCGCCAAAGGGAGAGGAAGTGAAAAGATCTAGGGTCCATGTCTTCTTCCAAATAAACTCCATTTGCATCTGAAAAGACTATATGAGATTCGGAAAGAGACCTCCACTCAAAAACTACTGCTGGGAATGACACCCCCAGACTTACCTCCTAGCTCCCAGAGGGCAGTCGGCAGGGTTTTTCTGTGGTTGCTCCTCTCACAAGAATTACCCGTCATACCATCTATTCCTCTGTTCTTTCTCCCCAACTATGAACTTCCTAAGTTCTAGAAACAAATGTTTCTCACCACTACATCCCAGAATCTACTGCAGGGCCTGGCACACAAGAGGCAGTTAGTAAATGTTTACTGAGTATTAACAGGACCACACAAAAGGTTCCTGGGCCAGGAACTGTCCGGCAGATTCAAAGTTCAGTTACTGAGAAGTGGGTGAGAAGAGCAGATGGGCTGGGTGCGGTCACTGCACGCTCCCCCCGGGAACTTCTAGACCAACAAGAAAACGCTGACGGGAGCCCCTCAGGAGGAACAGTCAGGAGATAAGCTCAGCCAGGTCCTGTGACTACAGCCTTAGAACCATATGTGGTTCAGGGTAGACACTGCTCCCAGGGAACTAAGTATGCACAGCTCACATGTACTGTAAGAGATGACCATCATCGATGGTCACAGATTATCTCATTTCACCTGCACAATGACCCTGAGGGAAAGACTGATGATGGCCTTGACACGTGTGACCCTGATGCCTCCATCCTTGTAGACTCCAGAACAGTAAGACAAATAATAAATAAAGACAAATAATAAAATAATACAAATAATAAAACAAATAATAAAATAATAAAAAAAGACAAATAATAAAGCATCTCACAAAACACCCACTCTCAGGGTTCATGGAGGCCTTCAATCTCCTACACTTCACCTTCCCTCCCCCAAGAGATGCTCAAATTCCCACAGCACTCAACACTTCAACCATCTGCCTGCCTCTCATGGCCTGCCCAAACCCTGAACAGCTAGTTACATTTTTTTAATTACTTTCTTAAAGATTTCTGATTTCTATCCACTAACCCTATGTCTTCTGCTTCTATCTACTCACAGCTAAACTAACCTCAAGCACGTGACACAGACCCAGCTATCTGAGGCAACCATCACCCTCTCTCCCCTGGGGTTTACAAAGACCCTACACAGGCTGCTCAAGGGGAAATGTATTTCTTACAGGTCAGCAAGTCAGAGAGACATCATGCCCTCTCTTGTTGGGGAAAAAAAGGGTGGTTCCTAGGATAAGGAACAGGAACAGGGGTGGAGAAAAGGGATGATATGCCACAGAATAGTTGATAATGCACAGAAACCTTTACATTCCTCACAGAAACCATTAATAATGGCATAAGCATATTTTGAGTTTTTTGTTTTACAAAGGAAGCATCAAGAAGCTTTGAGGTAAGGCTGAAGAGATGGCTCAGAGCACTGACTGATATTTCAGAGGACCCAGGTTCAATTCCCAGCACTCACACGGCAGCTCACACCCGTCTGTAACCCCAGTTCCAAGGTTTCTGACACCCTTACACAGACATACCTGCAGGCAAAGTACCAATGAACACAAAATAAAAAGAAATCATCAGAAAAAAGAAGGAGCTTGGAGGTGAAGGTACCTACTCCTGATGCTTTGCTACCCGGACACGCTGTCAAACCGTCTTCTAAATACTTATGTTTGTGCGCATAGATCACTGCTGCCCTTGACCCGTGATCAGAGAGGCTTCTCTGTGTGGTGGGCAGCAGCCATCGCTGGCTGGGATATTTTTTTAGACCACCACCATCCAGACGCATGGGACATGATGGGAGAGGAGACAAGAAGAATTTAAGAGGCAGAGGCTGGGAGGGAGTGCTACGAAATGCTGTCTTCTGGGCACGACATGGCTGTAGCGCTCGTCAAGTCACTGACAGAAGTTGTGATTGACTGCACACAATCTAGTCAGTCAACATTCCATCACAGATCAGGGAGGGCTCGCCGGGCCCTACCCCTAGGTCAGGGGCTATTGTGGCTGACAGCTTGTAGGAAAGGGGCAATCACTTCTCTTCCTTCAGGAGTGTGCTTCTCTCCCCCTGCCCCCTCCCCAAGGCTGCCCATGCTCTGGTAGAGGGCCCACACTCATTTGCATGTGGGCAGTCCTTACTAGACTCAGTTGGTTACATAAAGTTTTTAAAGGGGAAAATAAAAAAAAAAAAAAAGAAGACATGAAGGTTAAACTACTGGAGGTTATCTGAGGATAACGGAAGGAGGGTTTGAGTCAGATATGATCAAGATACATTGCATACATGTATGAAACTGTCAATGAGCAAATAAAAATAATCAAGATGCAGCAGCAGTGACAGCAGCAGCAGCAGCAGCACAGAGGTGAAGCTGCAAAAGGATCCCAGCTATTGAGTGTCAAGGGCTCACTTAGAGGAGCCCTAACTCAACCTGTTCCTCTTTTCATTGCACTGCTCCAGAGCAGGCCAGCAGCCCCCCTGTGGTTTCAGGACACTACCATAACACAGCGCCATCCAGCCTCTCACGTTCACCACATTCCAAAGAGGTAAAGGGCAGAAACACACCATTAGCCCTGCTTTACAGAGGCTAACCCTGAGGAGTTGAAAGGCAAAAGGATTCATTCCAGTTCCCTGGAAAAACACCTTGTTCTTGTAACTCAAAGCTCACTCAAGACTACTCTGTTGACTACGAGCTACCGAAAAGAAGCATCTCGGTCTAGAAAGAGATCCCTTAACTAAAGGAAGAAAGCCGCCTCTGACTGCCGCCTCTGACTGCCCTTCAGCGCTGAACTCCTCTGACAGGGGGCATTCCTCCCACCCAGAGAGAGTTGCGCCAGGTTCCCCAATTACAAAACAGAAACAAGTAAATTTTGCCCTTCAGTTAACCAGGACGCCCTGAGGCTCAAGTGTGAAAGAGCAAATTTAGGGCAGAGGCTCATTCCCACAATAAGCACCTGCCCCTTCCTTCTCTCCATCTGCAGCCCAGTACCCAGAGCATTTGAACCGGGTCAGGAAAATCTCACCCAAGGGAGGGAGGAGAAATTAAAACAATTACAACACAAAAGCATTGGTCACCAACAGTTCTAGTTTATATAAAAAAAAAAAAAAAAAAAAAAGAACCGTTATTATCGCAACAGTTAACGATTTGTTAGGTCCTATGTGCCATACAAAGAGCTCCTCTGCAGCTCACTTGCTTTTAGCTTGCACAACTACTCATTTTACAGATAACAAAACGTAAGCTTGGGGTTTAAAGGGTAGCCGGTAAGCAGTAGGGCCAGGACAAAGCCCCAGTACTAATGCAGACTAATACTTGCCAACTGAAAGGAGCTGTTAATCGCCTGGGAAGATTCAGTGAGACCTTTACCAGGTCTAGACTGAGGCCTTAGCTGACGCGCTTCCAGCAAGTAGATGGACTCCACTGAGAATACTGGGCTACCCTTTAGATTCCATTAAGGGGCAACCTGTACATCACTGGGTGGGTCCCCAAAGTTTCGTACCAGCCCTTCCCCGTAGAATGTACTCAAGGGCTTATTAAATGAATCTGCGTCTCAAAAATTCATGCTTCAACACTCCCCTGCCTCAAGTCCCGTTGGGTCATTCAATCTTCACAACAGACCTGTAAGGGAGAGCGATTCTTCCTTGACAGACAAGGAAATAGGCTCAAAAGAGTAAGTGACCTAAGCTTTCCAGCGCTTGTGCAGCAGAGACGACCACAGCTGTCTCGGGGTGCAAGAAAAATAATTACAGACCACGGAATGGTAGGAGGGATGACCACCCCAGCACCTGACAGGCTCACCCTCGGCACCCAGAACTCTCAGCTAGCTACTCTGGGGATGGGGTAGCCTCGCCCGGTGCTCCGGGAGGGAAATAAGGAAGAGAGGAGGAGGTCGATCTGGGGCGTAGTGCCAGGGGGCAGAAGGCAGCTGGTGAGGTGAGCCCCCGACTTCTCCTTTAGCTCCGCTGATTTCAAGCACCCAGGTGGGTCCAGCTCTGAAGGAACTCTATCCAGTTTTGGGGGACCTGAGGGTGAGAGGGTTCCGGGCATTCGGGAAATCGCTGCTAGGTGGTGAATCACCAAGCACATGACCCTGCAGGGGAGGGGAGGGTGCCGAGCTGCACGGGATGAGGCGAGGGCTGGGGGACGGGCGGAGGGAGTAAGGCCTGGCGCGCAGAGCACCCCTAACGGCCCGGGTTCGGGGAGCTAAAGGGAAGCCTCTCTCCCTCGCCACTTCTCCTAGCGGAGGATCCCCGCACACCCGGGCCCGCCGAGATCCCCCAGGCGCCGAGGACTCACGGCCTTCAGCTGCTCCAGCCGGTCCTTCATCCTGGCCCAGGTGAGGGCGCCCAGCACCCCTTCCCAGGTGAGCGCGTCCCGGGTGAGCGGCCTGGAGAGGCGGCGGGTGCCGGCCGGGGCGAGGGAGCTGCCGGCGCGAGGCGGAGGCGGGCGGCGGCCGCTCTCGAGGAGGAGCGTCCGAGGCCACCGAGGTCCGCCGCGCCGCCCCCTCCGGCCCCCGCCGGCGCCGCGCTCCAAATCCGGCTCCCTGGCCAGCGCCGGCTCCGCGCCCGCCCGCCCCTGGACCCGCCCCGTACCTGGGCCGCGCCCCGCGCTCCTGCTTAAAGGGCCAGCGCGCGCTCCAGCGCCACCCGGCCTCTCGGGGAGTTCCAAGGAGCAGGAGCGTTCTGGGGCTCCCCACCCTCCCAGCACCCCCACGCAGGACAGAGAGAAAGAGGAGGCATCCGTCTGGCTTCGATTCCATATTCTCCGTTCTGTCCACGCTTGTCCCTCCCTCCGAGGACTCGTCCGGTTGAAGACGAGCTGGTTCCTGCACCCTTTGGTGGGGAAAAAAAAAAAAAAAAAATGTTCCGACGGTGCTCCTGAAAGAAGAGACCTGCAAGGCGTAGAATCGGCGCGGTCCCGGCTCAGAAACCTGCGCCAGGGGACGTAACTGGGATGAAACGCAGTGGGTCGGGCTGCGGCGAGGAATTTGGGCGCCTGTCAGGGGAGTGTGTACAGGGTGTCCAGTCACCTTTTATTAACAATCTGAGTAACTGTTAGGGAACTCCTCTTCCTCTGGAGGACTCCACTTCCAGCGCTATAAATCAGAGGCTGCTTAGCAGTTTAATTCGAACTCTGTGCGAGAAGCGACTGAGTTCTAACTCCGTGCAGGTCAGGGAAGGTTGGAGGATAAAGACGTTTAATTGGAAAAACTTAAGCCCCATCCGTCTCCTCCTTGGTGTAAGGAGCCTCGAGGTTTGAGGAATTTTTGGAAAAGTGTGGCTCCTCTGACTGCCCTTCCCTCTTCAGCCATGCACCTAACCTGTAAGGCTGTTCGATTCTGGGTAACAAAAGGCGTGTCAACCATTGGAGCTAGAGAGGACCGAGTCTCAAATTCGGAAAGCATCGTGCTCTTTGCGCTCAGTTTTAAAGGTCGTAGGTATTTTCTTAATTACAACCGGACTTTGCCCTCTGAGACGTGCGCGCCCCTGTTGACTTCCTCCGCTGCCATAAAGATAGTCAAGTGACGCAGGGCTGGGGCTGTTTGAGCCGGCCCCGCGGTTCTCAACTCTAATCCTCTCTCCGGCCTCCCCCTCCTGTCCTTCTGCTGCTCCTGCTGGGCTCCGCACGACTTCGAAGGCTCCCTCGCCCCCTGGTGGTCATAACTCCTAAGGCTGGGGGCTGAACCTCCCGCCTATCAAACACTTGGAAAACAGACCACTATTGAACTCATTCAGTCTAGGCAGAAGGGAGCAAGGAGGATTCGTTTCCAAGCAAGAACCAAGGATTCCTGTTAACACACAATTGCTTTCAGGCTGCTGTTGAGAGCACCGACTGGAGGACCTGGATTAAATTCTCAGCTGCCACACGGTGACTCACAGTTCCAGGGGGGTGCAACGCCCTCTTCTGGCCTCTGCAGACACTGCAGACATACAGTGTACATTACAATATGCAGGCGAAATCGCTCAGACAAGAAAATAAATAACTTTTTAAGTCTCAGAAAATTATTTTAGAAGACATAGTTGACTTCAGCAGGGTAAAATTGTGGCTGTTATGCAAATATAAAATAAATATGTTTATTTAAGTATTATGTAAACACTTAATATAGTGTATAATTATGTAAATATAATTAATTTTTCAGCTTATCAGTGAGACAGCTAGTAAGGAGTTAAACCCATTCAGATCTTCGGACAAAGAGCAGGAATGCCGGAATGAATAGGTTACTTGATGCAAAATTGGCTTTGGGGAGGTGGGAGAGCCTGTGCCTCCCCTGCAAACAAAGCTTTTATGAACCAACTTCTCTTACGAACACAGATGCAAAAATGCTCAATAAAATACTTGCAAACTGAATCCAAGGACACATCAAAATATCCACCGTAATTAAGTAGGCTTCATCCCAGAGATCCATGGATAGATCAATATGCAAAAATCAATAAATGTAATCTACCATATAAACAAGCCAAAGTCAAAAATCACGTGATCATCACACTAGATGCAGAAAGGGTCCTTGACAAAATTCAACACCCTTTCATGATAAAAGTCCTGGAGCTATTAGGGATACGAAAGACACACCTAAACATAAATAAAGGCAGTTTACAGCAAACCCATAGCTAACAACAACATAAATTAAATAGACAGAAACTCAAAGCAACCACACTAAAATCATGAACAAGACGAGGTTGTCCACTCTCTCCATAGCTACTCAATACAGTATTTTAAATCATACCCAGAGCAATAAGACAACCAAAAGATACCAAGCAAATACAAATTGGAAGGGAAAAAGTCAAACTATCTTTATTTGCAGACAATAGGATAGTATACTTAGGTGACCCTAAAATTCCATTGGGAAACTCCCACAGCTGATAAATATTTTAGTAGGTGGATACAAAATTAACTCACAAAAATCAGCAGCTTTCCTGTATATAATTGACAAATGAACTGAGCAAGCAATCAGGGAAACAAAACCTTACACAACAGCCTCAAATAATGTAAAAATATCTTGGAGTAACTCTAACCAAGCAAGTGGAAAACTTGTGTGATTAAAAACTATAAGACACTGAAGAGAGGAATTGAAGAAGATATCGGAGAATGGAAAGATCTCTCATGCTCATGCCCATCCTACCAAAAGCAAGCTACAGATTCAATGCAATCCATAGCACAATGCTTCACAGATCTTGAAAGGACAGTTTTCAGCCTCAAATGGAAACACAAAGAAACCAGGATAACAATAAAATAGTAATAAGAGAGCAATGAAAGAACTTCTAGAGGTATCACTATCTCTGGCCTCAAGGCAGAGACTGAGGCAATGTGCACAGGGCCTGTATGGCTCTGCACCGGATAGGCAGTGGTTGGAAAGGAAGTAGTCCAGCTATCTTTCTCAGCAGGTGACATGATAGTATGCCTACAGACTAAGTGCTACTTCCCTGATTTCCTTCTCTGTTTTGCAATATATGTCTATCGTTTTCCAATCAAAAAGCAAAGGCCTGACAAGGAGATTTACAATTCTTGCACCCACCCGGGTCCCTATTTGCAAATGAAATTGTAATATTTTCCAAGAGAGTCTAACTAGGGAAACAAATATTCTTTTTTAATGTTTGTTTATTTATTTATTTATTTATTTATTTATTTATTTATTTATTTATTATCTATTACAATTTATTCACTTTGTATTCTAGCTGTAACCCCCTTCCTCCATCTCCTCCCAGTCCTACCCTCCTTCCTTTTTCTCCCCCTATACTCCTCCCCTAGTCCACTGATAGGGGAGGTCTTCCTCCCCTACTATCCTATTAGGACTCATCAGGACTGGCTGCATTGTCTTCCTTTGTGGCCTGACAAGGCTGCACCTCCTAGGGGGAGGTGATCAAAGAGCTGGCCACTGAGTCCATGTCAGAGACTGCCCCTGTCTGAGCCCAGGGGGAAGCCTGAAGAGACCAATGCTCCAGCCAAGGAGCATGCATGGAAAGAACCCAGACCCCCTGCTCAGATGCAGCCCATAGGAGCTCAGTATCCAAGTGGGTTCCCTCGTGAAGAAACAAACATTCTTACATGCAGGCTGCATTCCCAGCAGTAGGTGGCCAACAGAAATGAACTTCATGCCATCTTTGGAGATTACTTGTCTCACAATACCGTGGCAAGGCCTTTCTCTTATGTAGGCATAAGGTTATTGTGTGAATCAAATGCTGATTTCTGTATCCTCCACATCTGGTTGCAAGCCTTGTTCTGAGACTATCCTGTCTTAATGTTGTATAAACTCTGCTCCCCAATGCTCCCCTGATATGTCAATAAAGCAGCTTACAGCCAATCACTCTGCAGGGGAGAGAACAGAGCTGGGCTTTCTACCATCCAAGGGAGGAGGAGTTAAAAGAGAAAGGAGCTGATTCAGAGAGGGCATCCAGCCACAGGAGAGGTCCTGGAGATACCTGGAGAGAGAACTCAGCAGAAAAGCTACAAAGTACAAGTATCCTGGGATGTATGTTGGGAGGAAACCAGATTAGTTTAGAGGGTTAAGAATAGCCATCAGAATGGCTAAGATCAAAAACTCAAATGACAATCCATGCTGGAGAGGATATGGAGAAAGGGGAACCCTCCTCCATTGCTGGTGAGAATGTAAACTTGTTATAACCAATTTGGAATCAGTCTGGTGCTTTCTCTGACAATTAGGAATAGTGTTTCCTCAAGATCCAGCTATACCACTTCTAAGCATGTATCCAAAAGATGCTTAAGTATACAACAAGGACATTTGCTCAACCATGTTTGTAGCAGCTTTATTTATAATAGCCAGAAGCTGGAAACAACCCAAATGCCCCTCAGTTGAGGAATCTATACAGAAATTATGGTACATCTACACAATGGAATATTACACAGCAAAAAAAAAAAAGAAAGAAAAAAAAAAGAAATCATGACATTTGCAGGCAAATGGTGGGAAAGATAATCCTAAGTGAGGCATCCCAGAAGCAGAAAGACACACAGGGTATATACTCACTCATAAGTGGATATTAGACATATAATATAGGATAAACATACTAAAATCTGTACATCTAAAGAAACTAATCAAGAAGGAGGACTCTGGCTAAGTTGCTCAGTCCCCATTCAGAAAATCAAAGAGGATGGACATCAGAAGAGGGAGAAAACAGGAAGCAGGATAGGAGCGTACCACAGAGGGCCTCTGAAAGACTCTACCCTGCAGGGTATCTGAGCAGATGCTGAGACCTATTGCCAAACTTTGGGCAGAGTGCAGGGAATCTTATGAAAGAAGGGGGAGATAGTAAGACCTGGAGAGGACAGGAGCTCCACAAGCAGAGCAACAGAATCAAAAAATCTGGGCATAGGGGTCTTTTCTGAGACTGATACTTCAACCCAGGACCATGTGTGGGGATAACCAAGAACCCCTGCACAGATGTAGCCCACGGCAGTTCAGTATCCAAGTGGGTTCCATAGTTATGGGAACAGGAACTGTCTCTGACATGAACTGATTGGCCTACTCTTGGATCACCTCCCCCTGAGTGGGGAGCAGCATTACTAGGCTACAGAGGAAGACAATGCAGCCACTCCT